TGGGAAGTTTTCATGTCTTCAACAAAACTTGGAAATAATTGAATTATTGCTTTTCTTTTCTTTTTTTTTTTTTTTTTTTGTTTTCTTCTGCTCGTCAAATAATTAATAACCTAATTAGAGCAGATCGGATTCACAATTCTTCACCAGGACCAAATAAAAATAGAAAATTGTTCAAAGAATGATAATAAGTGAGCAAAGTACACATTTTCTTTCTCTCACTCTCTCTCTCTCTCTCTCTCTCATTCGCCCTCTCTCTTATTTTCTTTGCTTTCCCCCCTCTCTCTGTTTTTCTCGCCATCCTTCTCCTGCTCTTTCTTTTCTCTCTCTCACTCACTCACGTTCATTTCTATCTTTCCCCTCTCTCTTCCGCTATCTCTCCATTCTCACTTTCTCTCTCTCACTCTCCACTCACTTTCATTCTCTATCTATCCCCTCTCTCTCTCTTCCTCCTCCCTCTTTTCTCCCTCTCCATCTCCTCTCTCTCCCCTCTCTCCTCTCACTCGCTCCTCTCTTTCTCTCTCTCCTCCTCCTTTCATTTCTCTCTCTCCCCCCTCTCTCCCGCTCTCTTTCTCTCCCAAAGAGCGGTCTCTCTCTCCTCCCCTTTCTCTCTTTCCCTCTCTCCCTCTCGCTCTCTCTCTCTCTCCCCTCTCTCTTTCTCTCTCCTCTCTTTCTTCTCTCTTCCCCCTCTCTTCCCTTCTCTCCCGCTCTCTGTCTCTTACTCACTCTCTTTCCCCCTCTCTCCCCTCTCCCTCCTCTATCTCTCTCACTCTCTCTCTTTTCTCTCTCTCATCTCACTCACCTCCCCTCTCTCTTTTCTCTCTCTCATCTCCTCCTTTCTCTCTCTCCCCTCTCTCTCCCTCTCTCTCTCTCTCTCCTCCTCTCTCTCTTTCTCTTTCTCCCCTCTCCTCTTTTCTTTCTCTCCCCCTCTCTCTCTATCTCACTCGCTCACTCTCTTTTCTCTCTCTCACTCACTCACTTTCATTTCTCTCTCTCTCCCCTCTCTCTCCCGCTCTCTTTCTATCTCACTCACTCTCTTTTCTCTCTCTCACTCACACTTTCATTTCTCTCTTTCCCCTCTCTCCCTCTCGCTCTCTCTCTCTCTCTATCTCACTCACTCTCTTTTCTCTCTCTCCTCACTCTCTCTTCCCCCCCTCTCTTCCCTTCTCTCCCGCTCCCTCTGTCTATCTTACTCACTCTCTTTCCCCCTCTCTCCCCCTCTCTCCCGCTCTCTATCTATCTTACACGCTCACTCTCTTTTCTCTCTCTCACTCCTTCTCCTTTCATTTCTCTCTCTTCCCCTCTCTCTCACCCTCTCTCCTCCCTCTCTCAATTCTCACTCCGTCGCTTTTCTCTGTCTTTTTCTATCTGTATATGTACAAATATGCATTAAAAAAATTTCTCTTTCTCTCTCTTTTTTATACTTCCTCACTTCTTACTCTGTCTCTCTCTCTCTCTCTCTCTCTCTCTCTCTCACTCTCTCCTTTTCTTTCTCCCTCTCTTTTCTTTCTATCGTTTCTTTCTCTGGATATCTACAAATATGCATTAAACAATTCTCTCTTCTCTTCTCTATTTTTTTTCTCCCCTCTCTCTCATTCTCTTATCTCTTCCTTTTCTCTCTCCCTCCACACTTTCCTTTCTCAATCTATTTTCTCTCTCTCTTTCTCTCCCCTCTCTCTCCCCCCTCTCTCTCCCCTCTCTCTCTCTCTCTCTTTTTCTCCCTTCGTCGGTATGGGTGTAAGTAACATGATGCATTAGATAAATATCACTCTCTGCTACTTCCTTATTTTCTCTCTCTCTCTCTCTCTCTTTCTCTCTCTGTCTTAATAAGTTTCACCATAAGCATCATAATGCATTAGGTGACTCTCTCTCTCCTTTCCTCTCTGTCTTCTCTCCTCTGTGTGTGATGACACGTCAGTTTTTAAATATATGTATTTTGCCTGACCCCAAAATACCTTCATTTTGTTAATATTAAATATTAATTCTAATAAATCATATAAAACAAGATTCAGCAACTGCCGGCCCCCAGGCCACATTCGTCCCGCGTAGGATCTTTGTCCGGCCCGCCATCTTAACACCTGGACATTAATTATTTCATTCATTTCTGCTGCAAGTGGTAGAATAATATGTCTGTTGGAGTTAATCGACTTACAATGCAACGAATTTTTGAGATCAAAATTTTATTCTGAATCCACTGCTGACTTCTACGAGTGGAAAATAGAAAAGCCTATTGAATAATACGAAAATGATGGTATCTTTATTACAAAATTCATAGTTATATATATATATTTAGTGGAAAAAGTTTTCTTGTGACGCGTTTCGTCCTTTAGGACTTCATCAGACTAAATTTGATATGTTGGCACGACTACACATGCGCACGAACGAGGGATGCTGGAATTTTTTGAATTTTTTTTATATATACTTGGGAACAATTTTTTTCCGAAAATGAAATGTATTAAAAATTGTTCTTAACAAGATTGGGTGATGACCACTTGGATGATATTTTATTTTTGTCCTCGACAAAGATTTCACCTGATATGGAGAAGTTATCAGGCAGAAACAAGTGACTCTTTAAATAATTTGCCATCTTTACTTGTATTTTGTTTGTAATAAGGAATTTGGATTTTTTGTTTACTGTGTTAGTTGGTATCCTGTCATTCCTGCAGTAAAATAAGGAACCTTGTTTAAAGAATATAAGATTAACTTCGTTGTTTTCTCTTTAAACCTCCAGACCAAGACAGCCTTGTGGACGGAGCGGTCTGAGGTCAAGACGTTGATATCATGACCCTCCTCTGAGACACTGCATAGCTTTCTGGTCAGCTTTCTCTCCAAAAGATTGCCGATCCCTTTTATAAAATATAACAGGCAGGTTGTGTCTATTATATTTTTAACAGGTTTTCTACTAGGCGGATTATTTTATCTTTTTTTTACAGTAAGGTTCACCTCCTATACAAGGCCCAGGGGCCACTCAAGGTAGAGGGTTACGTTAAGGGGCAGTTTATACAGATAGGAGGGAAATATAACGGTTGACTCTAAACATGAACAGGTTAAGATTGTAGCCATCGAAGAAGCATCCTCTTGGGAGTCTGTTCCACAGGGTAGTGGTTTGTGAGAAGTTCTTTGAGTGAAACTTACTTCTCGCCGATGAAATATGGAGGGAATGTGGATGGTATGGCAAAGGTTACACCTGGCGGAAGCAAGGAATGTAAAGGATGGTCCGAAAGTCTTGTCACCCCTACATGATATAATTTTCCATTTGAGATGGCTGCCACGAAAATAATGGTCTTCATACAGACCTTCTCGATGTATGACAGTGTCAATGAAAAAGAATAAACTGAATCCAGTTCTTTGTATTACTGTATTACTTGTTCTTCTATTTTTCTCATTAGTTTTTGGTAGGGTTGACAAAAGTTTCGGATCCCCACTTCCGAAGATTTTCCGTGGAATTATGATAGAGTATCGAGAGGTTTTCCACGTCTGGCCTACGTGGGAGAGGTCCAAGGGTGGAAAATAACCCACGAGGATTCTGAGACGCTTTTCGTCTCTATCGAGGCTGGAGAGTGTGGTCTGGGCAGCTCCCGTCCAAATATGACAAAAGTATCCTATTTTTGGCCGGATCCGGGGTCTTGTAAAAATAGAGGATAGCATGATAAATGTCTTATCTGACAGGAATGGAGAAATGTTGCAAATTTACTGTAGATGAACTTGCGTTTAATGCATCATTTCACAATTCCTGTCAGAACTTCTAATTACCAAAGTTTGGGAAAAAATCTAAAAGAAATCGGCTAGAAAAAAAAAATTCCCAGCATCCTTCGTTCGCGCTCATGTGTAGTCGCGCCAACATATCAAATTTAGTCTGATGAAGTCCTAAAGGATGAAACGTCACAAGAAAAACTTTTTCCACCATATATATATATATATATATATATATATATATATATATATGAATATGAACCTAAAGAGCCAGGCAAAGCTACCTAAGTTACACTTACGCGTACCCTGACGATCCGCGTAGGTGAAACCTAGGTAGGATTGCCTGGTTCTACTTAGTGTATTGAGCACTTTACTTACTTTTGGGTATTGTTTTGTTCATTTACAAGCCAAAACACTTGAGATTTTTCCAAACGACTATAATTATTTATATTATTATTATTATTATTATTATTATTATTATTATTATATATATATATATATATATATATATATATATATATATATATATATATATATATATATATATATATATCTCTAAGTGTTGACTTCTATGTTCACTTTTATATTTACACACGCTCTATCTCTGATATTGAGCATTTTATCCCATAACTATAGCAAACCTTAAGAGTATAATTCTTCATATATATATATATATATATATATATATATAGTTGTGTGTGTGGGTGTGTGTGTGTGTTAGGTTTCAAACATCAAACTGTGTTTCTCCAATGCACTTATCAGAACACGTTGTAAATGCATTTTATACTTGGTCAGTGAAAGTGAATGAAATGTCTTTGAGATTTAAGCTTGAAAAGTCTTCTTGCATGCATCGATGCAGTCAAAATCGGAAACTCACTCTTGGCGGACATCCCATACATATCATTATCAAAGAAAAAGACTCCGGTTTAATTATGACCTGTAATCTAAAGTGTTTAGGTCACTGCATCTAGATTCCAAATTAAAGCCTACAGCGTACTCGCTGTGATATAAAGAACCTTTTCCACACAACCTTTATGAAGATTTATTTAACACTCGTCCGCCCTATTTCAGTCTATATCCCCTGTGTGAGGTTGTTTTACACTCAGTATGACATACAAAAGTTATAAAACGTACAAAAAAAAAAAAACGCTCTATCCAAATGATTCCGAAAATGACAAATATGCCGATAGACATAAAATGTTTTGGCTTAGCCTCGCTTGATAATATCTTAGACTTGATTTAATACAGCTATTTAAAATGTTCAATACAATTCATGACGTAGGTTTCGGGAAATATTTGGCTAAAATCCATCAGAGGGCATCCATTAAAAATTCAACCGCTGCCCAATCGTCTGAATATGCGAAAATATTTTTCACGTCAGATAGTTAGCACTATTTTATTAACCCCAGCACTCAATGCTCAATAACTTAACTAAAATGATATAAATATTAATTATATTATTAAAAAATGAAACAACAATAACAATATGCACTCACTTTCGTTTATTAGACATTAAATTATATCACTTAGCTTCTTCCATAATTTAACTTGACTTTCAGTTAGACTGATGAATATTCATGGATTTTCTTAAATTTAGAAATGCGGAAAAACTAACATTTTTTACTTTTGTTTATAAATACTTGTTGTAAAATAAAATCATTACATTTGCCTTCATAAAGTCCATCAGAGATAGATTTTCTTTTTGTTTTTACTCATATATATTTTGTTTTTACTCATATATACCTTGACGATCCGAGTAGGTGAAACCTAGGTAGATTTATCTGGCTCTTTAGGTTTACTTAGTTTGCTCTGCTTAGCGTATTGAGCACTTTGCTTAGCTATTTTTACTTTACTCGTGTCGGAGGGTTTTTTTTCTCTGGACTCTGAACTTAGATTCTAGACGATTATTTTCGCCGGAAGTCCATGTTCTTAGTTCTTTCATTTTTTCCCCCTTGGGTATTGGTTTGTTCATTTAAAAGCTAAAACACCTAAGGTTTTGCTGGACGAGTATAACTGATTATATTTATAAGATTATTAGTATTATATAAAGAAGTTGAACATAGAAAAAGAGTGTTTGTGATGAAGAAAGAAAGCGACTTCGGTAAAGAGAAAGAAAGCATGAGATAGAAAAAGAGAGAGTGTAAGAAAGAAAGAAAGAAAGAAAGAAAAAATTTCGATAAAGAGAGAGAAAACGGGACATAGAAGAAGAGAAACTTAAAAAGAGTAAAGAAAAAGAGAGAAAATGAGAAACTTTGCATCAGAGATGTGATTAGTGGCATAAAGAGAAAGAGAGAGTGATTTACAGTAGAGAAAGAAAGATAGTAAACAAAAACGAGTGTTTTCGGATAAAGAGAAAGGAAATGAGAAAGAGAAAAACAGAGACTTAGGGAGAGTAAGGAGAGGCGAACAGAAAATGAGAAATTTTGCAGAAGAGAACTAAAAAATACACAAAGAGAGACATGGACGATTTGCAACAGAGAATGAAAGAAACATCGAAAGAGAGAAAGAGGCGAAATAACAGAGAAAAAAAAAGAGCGACTTAGAAACAGTAAAGGAGAAAGAGATAAAACCAAAAAATTACAGAGAAATATAGAAATATAAAGAGAGTTGATAAAAAAGACATTCAAATAGAGACTTCAGAACAGAGAAAAGATTTGCCACACGTAATGGTCAGTGAGAGAGAGAGAGAAAATTGAAGACATGTTTTTTTAAAGTCCTTACGATTCAGAGGTTTCCACATGTGAGTCATTAAATTGATTTTTTCAATTATATTAATATGGAGAAATCCTCACGATCAGGTTATTACTTAACAACAAAAGACGGATCTCACATTTTATTTTCAATACAATTTTATATCAATAGTATTTTTGAACCATGCTGTTAAAAATATTTAAGTTCTTAATATTATTAGTAAGTTTTCCCATGTGAATCTTTAAATATATTTCTCCAGTTATGATATTGTCATACAGTAATTCAGTGTCGCTCAATTCTGTACCTAATAACAATAGAACAATGATCCGCCATTTTACTGTTCAAGGGCGTGACTTGATCCTTGAAATAAAGCTCAAATGGTGACGTCTGTTTTAACGTTTTAAAGATCGACAAACGGAAATCGACCACTAGCATTTGAGAATATGTGTAATTTATTTTAAGCGACTTTAGGTAATCATGTCTCTCCACAGCTTCCCATTTTATTAATTGTGAATCGCCTTGACGTCTTGGGAAAAAAAACAGTGTACCTTCTCCCCGGTGTGGATTTCAGAATTTTCCGCCTTTAAGACCACCCCACCCAAAACGAGAGAGACCCCCCCCCAATCCAGTCTGTTACTTAACTAGTTTACTGGGAGGGACAAACTAAACTAACATTTTTATACAAGGCCGGTGCGTACTGCCCCAAATCCCACCTCGACCCACTTTGACCGGGGAAGTCCAAGCCTGATTAGGGGCCCCGGGGAGTGCTTTGTAACCCTCTCTATGTTATCAAAATTGGATTTTTTTTCTACCTTCATTTATATACGTTACAAATTAAACTAAACACAACTGACGATTGAAGAATGAAAAATATTTGTAGATTTTGACGTCATTCTGAGGTCTTTTTTTGTTCGAATCCCTGAATTTGTTTTGTTCACGCTAAATCCAGAAAAAAATACATAAAATTCACTATTTTTTTAAATCCTTAATGTTGAATGTGCTTAAATTATCCAACATTTTAACAAGAAATATCTTAAGTTAATATTAAAAATTGTCACAAAACACTGTTGATTTATTTAAGATGGAATGACCTATTATGACAGGTCTCTAATTTGGATTTAGATCAAGGCAATCCTTATCAACCTGATTTACATATTTTTTAAAATGTTCTCATTGAATTGTTCGCCTATTTTGCATATGATCCATTATTGTACATAATTAGATTACAATCAAATTTGTATTTTATATGAATACGACCTGATGATTACAGAGGTCGTATCATAGATCAGCGGGAGGAGGGGGCACGAGAACCTTGCACCGGCTCTGCCTTTATACAATTATTTTCTCAGATTAATGGTTAAAGGTGTGTTAAAAGGAACAAATATAATAATCATCCTTCACCAGATCCCATAGATTCTGGCCTTACAAAAATACAAACACAAATCTTTACCAAATAACAAAAAAAAAAAAAAAAACCACATAGCTTGAACACTTCCAAAAGCAACAAAAAACAGAAATGAAAATAAAGATAGAATCAATTTACTAACTTTACACATTTTAAAAAGAAAAGATTTTTAGAAGAAACTCATGAAACCGAGATGCCAGGTCAGGACCAATAACATTGCATATTTTTTATTGTATTTTATAAAGAATCTTTAAAAGCATAATAGGATCACCAGACAATATATGGCAACAATAATTAAAGCCTAGTCATATGGTAGATCTAAACGTGTAAGTTAGATTCTAGTGAGAAAATTTGTCTAAAACGACACAGGGAACTAATTTTCCTAGCAGCAGACCAAGCGATTGATTTATTTTATATAATCTTTCGACTTCATGTCAGCCCAATTCTTACTGCGTCATCTTATGCCGTGTCCTTGCAAGAGAATGTCAGCCACCTTTCTGTCGTTTTGGTCTGGTTCATTTTGTTTTACGGCATATCAACACTTCAATGGGTTATTTAATGCCGACAAGATCTTTAAGATAGGTTCGTATGACTAGAAAACATATTCTTTGTAAGAAATTACTTTGCAGATCAGATTTCATTGATATATTTCTGTAAAGAAGGTTTGTAGAGAGTTTGGTTCGGTTTATTTTGTTTTACGGCATATCAACACCTCAGTGGGTTATTTAATGCCGACAAGATCTTTAGGATAGGTCGTAAGAAATCAGTTTGTAAATCAAGTTTCATTGACATATTTTTGTAAAGAGGTTTTTTGACAATAGCCTCATGTGTTGCGAGTAAATTTTTTTCAAAAATGTATTGCCAGTATTTTTACTACAAAAATATTTTTTTTGACTTTCATAGTGTTTTGACCTCACTTTGGGGATTAACTATTTGCCAATAACTGGGACCCTAACAGGTACTACCACCCCGGGGTCATGGTGGAGCTGGGAACAATAACTATTAAGAGATAGTTCTACGCTTCTCAAAACCTCCAATCTCTCAATCAGAAGTCTTGCTGCTGGATGGAGTTTATCATCATACCCAGGACACCTGCCTTTTTGAGGGTATAAACTCGATGTCTTAAGAAAGAAAAATGTTTCACTATAGTAACGTTCCTCAGTTGTTCACACACCTAACGAAAGGCTGTGTAGATTCAATGAAATATCTCAAAAGTTGAATCGTGAGTTTCAATTCGAAATACGTGTTAACTGGTGATTGTTTCTTTTTTCTCGCCAACCCCAAACACCTCCGCCATCAAGGTTGAATTTCAATGCCAAGCTGGTGATGCTAATGAACAAAATCGTCAACTTTTAGTGAATACCTCTTTTCATATTTGTAATTAGAATTACTCGCGGCTATATAACCATCGTTTCTACTTCTTGACGCTGGTAAAAATGGAGGAGGCTTGAATTATGATTGGAATGAGACGTATGCAAGGGCGTGGCTCTTCTCTCTTTCTTTTTTTTTTTTCTCTTTTTAAGTTCTGCCAGCTTCTTGCGTTGATTACATTTTCTTTTTTCTTTTTGTTTCTTTTTTTTTTCTTTTTTCTTCTTTTTCTTTTTTTAAAAAAATGTTGTTTATGGTTGGAATTTGCATCATCATCATCGAAATTGTTTAGCACCACCAATGTCGTCATCATCATCGTCGTCATCATGTAAAGCATTGTAGTTTTTGTTGATTGTTTATGTAGTTAACGAGTTGGCATATTTCTTCTTCTTCTTCTTCTTCTTCTTCTTATTATTATTATTATTATTATTATTATTATTATTATTATTATTATTATTATTATTATTTCTTTTGATTTGCTTCTTGATCCAATCATTTATTTGGTTGTTCACATGGGAATTAAGGTAAAAGGTGGAAGTTATTGAGAAAATTGGATTGAAACAGCTTTACATCTTTCTTCTTCTTCATCTTTATTATTAGTAGTAGTAGTATTAGCATTAGCAGTAGTAGTAGTAGTAGAATTAATTCTCTCTTTTTCCTCATTATTATTATTATTATTACTATTACTATTAATATTATTATTACTACCACTTTCCATACTTTTTCCTCTTCTAGTTAATTATTATTATTATTAGTAGTAGTAGTAGTAGTAGTATAATTACTTCTCTTTTTTTCTTCTGCAGTATTATTATTATTAATATTATTACTTTTATTATTATTATTACTTTTATTATTATTATTACAACTTTCTATCCGTCTTCTTAGTCTACTTTATTATTATTATTATTAGCAACAGCAGCAGTAGTAGTAGTATTAGTAGAAGAAGAATTCTCTTTTGCTTCTGCATTATTATTTTATTATTATTATTACTATTACTACTACTACTACTACTACACTCTCTTCTTCTTCTTCTTCTTCTTCTTCTTCTTCGTCATCCCCTTATTATTATTATTACACTTTTTATTTTCTTATTATTATTGTTGCTACTCTCTTCAATATCTTCTTCTTACTATTATTTTGATTATTATTAGTAATAGTAGTAGTAGTAGTAATTACTTCTCTTTCTTCTTTATTATCGTTATTATTATTATTATTATTATTATTATTATTATTATTATTATTATTATTATTATTTCCTTTTATTTCTGGCGTTTACATTTTTCTTTTCGGGTCCCGCCTAGGGACCTAAGGTTAGAAATAGCGTCATGACACTTTCCACTGACAAAAAAAAAAAAAAAAAAAAAATTAAATTACATAGATAAAGCCCTTCGTAAGGTGTGGGCTGTACTTGTCAGAACAATTTTTTGTATTTCTTTAAGGCATGGACTTCCAATTATTATTATTATTATTATTATTATTATTATTATTATTATTATACCCTTCTTTATTGTCTTGTTCTTCTTCCACCTACTCCCCATCTCTTATTATTATTATTATTATTATTATTATTATTTCTCTTCTTTCTTTTTTCCTTAATTTATTATTATTAATATTATTATTATTACGAGAGAGAGAGAGAGAGAGAGAGAGAGAGAGAGAGCAGTACGCACACCAATAAAGATGAGCACATTTTGCTAGAAACGTGTTTTTAAGTTTCAAGTCTACAGGAGTGTGAATCATAGTCTCTTGAATGCTAGCCTTGTTGCCATCCCTACTAAAAAAATACCAGACGAACGAGCGAGACCCTCTTTAAAATCTATGAGGGGTCGGATAAGATGGGGACATGGAGTAGTTCTGTGTCTTTCAGATGAAAACTACTTGCCACAGATTTGGAAATATCAAAAGGTGTCCATCATAATCACAACATGATATTATATGGGGAATATGTCGTTATTTATTCTTTTAAGCCAACAGTAAAGATAAAATAATATGAAATTAGATACCTCCAAAATAAAAGCGATCCATTAAAAAAATGAAAAATCTTTCTGGAAGCTTCTATTTTATTTTTATTTTCAAACTGATAAATTAAATTTAATATTTCCAATAATCAAAATACTTTGATGTATTTTCAAACCGAATTTAAATTGATTAGATTTTTTTCTCTTTATCAGAAAAATCTGTAAAATGGTCCATACTGACAAATCTGTCAATACAACATAATTCTCTTTATTAAAAAAAAAAAAATCTTTCAAAAATGAAATATATTTTTCTGAAGGTTAAGTAATCTGAATTGAAATAATTATTACTTTTGCTTTAAAATATCACAGAAAAGCATTTTTAACGTGGAGTTTTTTTTTTAATTTGTTTTGCCGTCTTCAATCATGTATTGACGCTATGAAATTTCAGTAAGGAGAATATAATTGAAATAAAATTACAAATACAACGTAGACGGCTTTTTTATAGTATTTTTAACTCTCCAATAATCTTCAAAATTTAAGATATTTTATGCATTCTAATGTTATTGAACGTTAGGTTCTTTTGCTTTAACCTTACGAAGACGCTTGTTGAAGAAATATTTAAAAATCAACAGTAATTTTCAAAGATTTAAAAGTTTATAAATTTTTCTAATTAAAACTTTTAGAAAATGAAAATAATTATTGCAAAAATCCATTATTTATCGAAAAAATGTTTATGTTTATATATATATATATATATATATATATATATATATTGGTTTTACTACCACGTCGTTGTGAAGGAGACTTACATTTTTTATAAATGACTATAGTTCAATCTCGCAACATTTAAAGAAAATTTCCTGTCCACATTCACGATTTAAAGAAATATTAATTGGCAATACAAGTATACTTCACCATGAAAAAAAACTTCAAATTCTGGAAGCCCTTTATATAAAAAAATTACGGCCAAAAATAAATGTCATCAATTATGAGCATAGCAATAAAATTCCAAAATGTTTATAACACCAAGGTTTTAAAATAACTAAATTGTAATTGTTAAAAACAACAATTAAAATCATTATATTAAAATATGTAATTAAAATTTTTAATAAGAATTTAAATAAACAAAGTTACCTCCCTTACTTACATAACGGTAAATTTTCGAAATTAACAGCGCTCATGCTCACGCATATTCATACCTTACATTAATTGTATGCCTTATCATTTCAACCCGGAAGAAGATCTTGGATGAGATTGAAACTACTTGGGAAAATGAAAAAATGTAAAACATGTATGCTGTCTTTTCTCCATCAATTTTATATTGATAGTAAAAAATTGTTACGCGAATGAGATGATTGTACATACACACACACACACACACACACATGTGTATATATATATATATATATATATATATATATATATATATATATATTTTATATGCGCAATATTTGCACCATGTCCACAAACAAAACCCAGTTAACCAAAGTGCTGATGAAAAACCCAAACCAATAGGAGTGTACGTACACATCTACATGTGTGTATGAGTGAGGAAGTGTAAGGTTGTCTGGCGACGCAGGCGGCCGATATGAAAAGAGTCAAGAACACCCAACCTGCACCTTGTTGAAAGAACATCGCTACATACAGTCTCGACACCAAAATAGAATTACAATTATGTATGTATGTATGTATGTATGTATGTATGTATGTATGCTCGAACGCATAGATGTGTATCGGCGCCTAATCTCGGATTGTTTGTATGGGTGTCTTGTGTGAACTAAAATGCATACACCTGTATGTATGTATGTCTGTGTGTACGACAATGTCATCCCAAAATGGACAGAGGAGAAATTCCCTCTCCAACGACCAAATATAATCAAACAAAAACAAGCACAAATAGATTTAATTTTTAAAAGATTAACCACTGTCAGATGATTGCAAAAGCGTGAAACCCAGGGTCACAAACATATCTGTACAGCTGAATATATATATATATATATATATATATATATATATATATATATCCGATGCGATGAGAACGAAAGTAATATATAAATTCCAACGTTCACAGCATTAATCCAAAAGAGGGCTCGATACCGATAGTAGAGCGATGATTATTTATTTATTATAATTTTATCATATAGACAAAAACAGTTTACTCACTACAAAGATGCAACTTTGTTTCAGTGCATTTCAACTGCAATTCAATGGGTGATAATCGAAAATGGTTACAAACAAAGTGCAGTTGAAATGCACTGAAACCAAGTTGCATCATGGAGTAAAATGGTTTTGTCTATAGATAAAATTATAGTAAATAAATTATATATATATATATTAAGAAATGGACAAAGTCCGACAATTTATTTATTAAAGACATTTTTATGTTTAACGTTCTTTTTTATAGATACAAGTATTTAAGTAAATGCTCTGTTTATAATAAACAACATTTACCGTAATTAAATAACATTTACCGGCCTGAATGTCCGAGAAATTTTTAGCTATAGAAAAATATTCGTCCTTTAACAGGATTCAAACGTTAAATACTTGTCTTTATAAAAAAAACTTTAAACATTTCTTAAAAATGTCATTTTTTTTCGATACGCCAATTATTGTATTTATATTTATATATATATATATATATATTTTGTATATATATATATCATAAATAACGGTTCCGTTTTGGATAGGTTCGAATCCTGTCAAAGGACGAATATTTTCTATATAATTATACATTCATATATACTGTTTATTATAAACAGAGCATTTATTAAATATTGTATCTATAAAAAGAACGTTAAACATAAAAATTTTTTTTTAATTTATTTTATATATATATATATATATATATCTTTTGCAGTGTTACATTAGAACATTTATCCAAAATATTTGAGCGTAAAACATTAATTTAAAAATAGTGCTCAATACACAAAATAGAGCCGTAAATTTATGGCTCTACTTTATGTATTGAGCACTATTTTTAAATTAATGTTTTGCACGCTGTAATCCTACTTTTTTTCCTACACTTTTTTTTATCGTTTTTTTTTTTTTTTTAGAATTTTCCGTTTAATAGGGACTAAGGAAGTGTGAAAATTGTCTGTATTGTCCATTGTCCGAAACGTCTTCGGTCACTTTTTAGCCATTTTCAAGGGGGTTTGTTTTGGTTCTGTTAATTTCTTTTCATGTATTATTTGTGTATTTTTTTGTGTGTTTTTTTAAAATTCTAGTAGCAGCGTTTATTCTGAGCCGACCCACCAAACGTAAAAATGATGCAAGAACGATAGAAAAACATTAATAAAAATTAATAAAATTTCCCTTATTCGTCATATTTAACGAAAGACAGACATATATATATATATATATATATATATATATATATATATATATATATATATATAAAGAAAAATAAAATCCGTTAGTGGAACCAACAAACAACTTGCCAAAACCTAAAACGCTTATCCACATACAGTCTAGAATAAAACCTGAAATACTAAAAAAAAAAAAAAAAAAGCAAACTTACCTACTCGAAGCCTAGATTGCCTAGACCGAGCAGAAGACGCTTACCAACGTTAAATTTTATAAAAAGATGGTCCTAGTCGTAACCCGAGTTTCACGCTCACGCGATCTTCAGACGGCTTGAATCTCTCTCTTTCTCTCTCTCTCTCTCTCTCTCTCTATATATATATATATATATATATATATATATATATATATATTATATCAACGGTGTAAGCATCAAAATTTTGAGTTAAAATTATGCATCAAAAATATAGTATTTTGCGTCAGATATACATTAGTAATTATTGTTATACGTGTGAAAATAGGGTAATCATTTTAAGCATTTTGACATTATAGACAAGTAAAAGGTGTTTTTCAAAGATTTTAATAAATTTCCACCGACAATCAAAAAGAAGAGTATTATTATTTCTTTTGAATCTAACTATCAAGCAATATGGCGTTTGACTTTGAATGTCGATAAAATATTTAAATAATCTTAACAATATTGAAATTGAAAGACAGGTAAAAGGTTTTTTTCAAAAGAATTTAATTAAATTTTCTCAACGATCTAAAGAGACGAAGACTCATTATGATTATTACAATTCTTCTTAAGCAAGTTAAAAATGGAACGAATTCATTGCATGAATCGAGGTTTGCTTGTATCTTCTAAAAATGCTGCTAGAGACGGAAATTTGCTTTACTTCGCCGTTCCTTGTGAAGATGATCCTCACTAGACTGATTAAAGTCAGTCTCGGATTAAACCGAACTTAAAAATATTATCTATTATACTAATTAATTAACAAAAAAGAAACTCTTTCTTTTCGGTTAAATCATTGAATTTGTCAGTTAAAACAACCATAAAGTCTTCTTCAGGAACTGCAGACGAATCCAAAAAAGCTTCCTGTCAAATACAAATTTACTTTTTTCAATTACAGGTTTTAATATCCTTATTTATAAAAGAAAAAAAAACATCGTTTTTCTTAAATTAACCACGGGAACAGCAACACTGAAATCCGAATGCGTATTGGGATAGCCAAAGATGTCTTCCTAAAGCTAAGCGGAGTATTAAGATATAGAAACATTTCACAAGAAACGAGGTAAAGTGTACTAAACTGCTATACGATATCTGTTCTCCTATATGGCAGCGAGTGCTGGATGATCCCCTCAAAGATGAAGAAGAGACTTGAACCAACAGAAATATGGTTCTACAGAAGCATGCTGAGGATACCGTGGACCG